ATTATCTAGAATCGCCATGATGATGGCTGGAATGTTTAACTGCTGTTCACTCTCTTGGCACCACCAGTGCACCGCGCTGTGAATGTGAAAAACGGCAATGCTGCAGCTTTAAACAAACAAATAAAGCAACAGGATCATGGCCCGAGCCTTGCATGCAAACAGACAGATGTGGCAGCTGGCAGGTCCCGGGGGGGCATTTGCCATTTGTCCCTGCGACTGCGGCCTGCTGCCTCCTGCAGACTTGTGTTCACCCTTAACATCCACATCCTGCATCGCCTGCATCTGGCAACCTTCATCATCACCGTCTTGTCTTGTGCCAACCCTTGTCTTGTGCCAACCCTTGTCCGCCTGCGCCTTCATTAGGCGTCCGACCTATCGGATCAGTCCAATCTACCAGCATGATGACAGCACATTTGCTGGGAGGACATTTTTTATTATATATCCTTGCCACCCGCGCCCCCAAAATGCCACCGTCCCCAAGAGTTTCCCTTCTTAGGTACTTCGCTCGATGTACCTTTTGCATGACTCCAACAGACCAATCCCAGGCCAACCAACGTGTGCGCAAGGCTACCGCTGGAAGATAAATTCAATTGTCACAGTCAAGCCAGGCTTAGCATACCATCCTGTTTTACGTCGTGCGCTAGTGTACGGATAGAGCGCTGAGCTCAATTGGACCGACGCAGCAAGCATGAACGGCCAGAGCCCGCACGACAAAATGGACGATGACAAAAGAGGGCGAGTAGAAAGGCCGAGTAGAAAGCGCCAACTCGGCAAGAAGCTTGTTAACACGAACCCCCCTCAAAAAAAAGAAAAAAGAAAAAAGAAAAAAGAGGAATAATTAACTAAATATGTACGAGCCGCGAGATGATACCCTGTGACAATTCCATGGCCTCTACATTGCCATGAAATGGGCACTAGAAGAAATATCCAAGTATTATAATTAGAAAGCAATATAGTGTGGCTATTGGATACATGCTTACCTAGGGTTGGCAAAGATGGCTCAGGGAGGACGCTCCCCGTGCTGCGACCCAGTCGATATTTTTTTGAGATGTCTTGCACACAGACAGCGGAAGCAACCCCGGGGTCCCGGTGGCTAGTCTCTAGAACCTTGGCAAGTCCCCGCCCACAGCAGCTTTGCTCTGCCTTTTTGCCGTTGTCTCGTTTCTCATGCTGGTATTATTGATGCGCACGGATAGCTGGCTAGCTGCGGGTTTGGCATTTCGTGTTGGGCCTTGCTCGATGTCCTATGCGCAGCCCGGATGTTGCGCTGTCTGCTCGGCTCGTCGTAGGGAGTAAGCGACTATACCGTTGTCTCGGTAAAAAGGAAAAGATTGCTTTCTTGTGGCTGGCGCTGAAAGCTGGGGTGAGCATGCAGTCCATGACACGGGAGCGGCAACTAAAGTCAACATTGCTCTTGAGACCCCTGTCGTCTCTCCCTGTTCCCTCGCTGATGTGTCTCCTCTCTCATTTTTCGGTGTCGAAGCAGAGTAAGGGACAAATGCAGACACTGACACATGCAGCTGCATGACCATGTCTTATCATGGGCTACTCCACATACCCGGCAGACCCCAACGCACAAGCTGTATTCTAACACCCGGCCTCGTGCATTATTCAAGGTCAGTTTTTTACTTCCGTGCCATCTTAGCGCCCTCGTTAGGAGGACCCAAAATCGTGGTGGGGTGCCTTGGTTGTCAAGTATGTCAATATTCGAATGAAAGTGGGAGCTTTTCTTAACCTGGAGATAAGTTTGATGCGTCAAGGCTTAAAATTTTTTTTGAGCAAAATGCGGATAACGTATTATTTCTTTATCAGTGCTATAGCAGTATAGCACGAACACCAATTGCCAGCCTCAGCGGCACGAGTACATGGACGCCCCTAATTGCCAGTGCCGCAAGCCAGACATACCTAGTATAACATCACCATTGATCTCCAGCCAACTTGAGGTGCTGCTTCTTCTCAACCCTATCATTAGCTTTGCTGTTGCTGCGGGTTAAGGGTTAGGCAGTCCGACCTTTCAAATATGCCTGCATTATTTTAACATGGACCGTGTCTCAACATCTCGATTGAGGCTTGACTTACATGTTGAAGTATGTATGAAACTCAGAAACTGTCGATTGCAGCTTTCTCGCTTTACCCGTGCCTGAAGCTCCTGAATTTGGCAGACAGTCATACAGTATAGTTTTTACCAAGGGGGCTAGACTCATTGCCTCTATGCCCTCAATCAAGCAAGTATTGAACCAATTGGCCACCAACCTCTCGCGCGTGTCAGCGCACCACGGGCTGACACAACAGCGAATTATCGTCCCCTCAAAATCGATGTAACCCGCAATTTCTACCATATGCTGCGCCTTTGGTATGGGGCACATCCTTCTGCTGAGGAAATGAGGGGGTTGTCCTCCTCTCGCCTTTCACATTCTTTTAACCCATCGAATGAGGGGGAGGAGGTCGCTCTACTGAGAGGTCGACGCTAATCAGCTTCACACCCGTCGATGTGTGCAAGTCGACGACACTCTGGCGACACGCTAGCGAGCCCATAGTACATACCCCAATACTGTTGCGACAGGCTGACGGCAGGCTGACGGCAAGTTGTCATGCAGTCAGCGTCGGACAATTTCGTCCGTGTGCAATGGCAAATAGGTCACTAGCTTCTTCGCAGCCTCAGTTTGCACCCCGCACCACCATTAGAACAGGTGCCACAAGTCGTCCAAGAGGGCGAGCTATTGGTGTGGAATGATGAAGTTGGCAGAATCGAGCCGTTCTATAAATTCGCCGTCACGTCTGACGAGCTGGACAGCACATTGGAGCCGCTCGGGACTCCCCCGTCGCCAGGAGTGAGCGCCTTATGATATTTTTCACAACATTGTGTTGCTGGATGATGCCTTCTGCGCCAGGCAGAGCTACGATAGGCGAAAGAGACGCCTGCTTGAACGGCTTGTCCATCGCCTCCTAGGCCAAGCCGACATTGGATGCCGCCAAGTGATACGATTCTCATCCGCCGATGTGGCTGAAAAACTGCGCAAGGCATTCGCCGATGCTATAGCGCAGCGATGGGAAGGGCTCGTTCTCAAAGGTTGCCATAATCCTTACCCGCCATTCTGCCACGACGGAGCGTCCATCAAACTCAAGAAAGACTACATTCCCGGCCTTCGTGACGCAGCCGATTTCATTATCCTTGGGGGACACCATGCAGAGATCCCTACAATCAGTCCGTTACCAATCAGTAATCAGTACTGCTGGTCAGGGACTGCCTTTCGTTTGCCCAATCAGCAAAGAAGATTTCACCCGCGATTTCGAATCTGGCTCAAGTCAACACTTCTCTACAGCTCTGGTAGATGCCCTCCTTGCCTTGGCAACCCTGTTGGCTCAAGAGAAGATGGCAGCTATCATAGCGTCTCGCTCAAACGCCAATCCGCGAGGGGACCTCGGATACTCTTTTGCGCAAAAGGCCATTGCTGCATTGTACAATGGGGCCGGTTTACCGCAGCGCATTGCAGATATCCAGGCGCTGGGTAAAGTGGCGCTGTACTGTCTTGGCTGCGGCAAGATGAACGACGGCCTGGGCTTTGCCGGTGATCTTGGTGCTTCTATTGCCGAGCAATGGGCAGCCAATCAATCTGAACCAGTCTTGGCTCCTCGACAGACGCATGCGAATATTACTTGTGCTGCTGTATCGTTCAACAGGTAAGGAAAGCCGTTCAGTCATGTTTCACGCCAGAATTCGACTAACGGTATGCTTTTGCGAGATTGCTATTTCTGATCCAAGACTATAACAAGACCATGGACGAGCTGGCCGTCAAATTTGGTGCAACCAGGCCCCCTTTGCAAGATAACAGCAGCACAGACAGCTCAAGCTCAAAGACCAACCTATCCGGCTCCATCATTGGTGAGAATTTCCTTGAACACATCTTTCTCCGGTATATATTGCCAAATCATCTCAGGTGATGCATTTCTCACGAGAGATCCCAGTCTACTGCCCAATTACCCGAAGGTCATCGCCGCCAGGCTATTCGAGTTGACAGAATGGGTGTACAAGGCCCATTTTAGTCCCGAAAAGACTTTTGATCAGGCAGTAAAGGTCTATCAAGGCAGTCTGCAATGGTATGAATCATTTTTTGCCTATACCAGCAGCTGCACTACTGAAACACCATTAATACTATGTGGCCAGTAAGTTTTCATAGTCACACTTTGGCTTTTGGTCTTGTTTGGCTCACAATTCGTCTCAGCACATATTATCACTTTGGCAACATGTGTCTGCTGACACCATATGTACTTGAACCGGCCGCCATCGCTTTAATCGGGACTCTTCCCATGGCCATTTGCAAACAGTGTGTGAGATAGTATACGAGACAGTATATGACCATATTGCGCACGTATCTCATCATGGCACGTGCACGATAATTGCACAGCAACACGATAATAACTCTAGCAATGCGATATTTGTTCACAAAGAAATTGCCTTTTTTGTACCCTATGATGTCAGAAAAATCAGTTGGTAATATATTGTTTCACACTATTGGACACACTGTTTGCAAACAAGCAGCGGGGAGTATTGTGGAGTTGATACAGCACTACAGCAGGCTTACATTGACGGGCAGCTTTTCGACTTCATGACCTTTTTCAAGGCTGCGGCCCTTGCGTTTTTGGAAGTATGTAATACGAATATGCCAATGTGAGTAAGGATGAGGATGAAACTTTACTTATTGCCCTCTTCTGCTCTTTAGTAGTTGGAAGCATTGTTGGGAAGCGTCTCAAGTATGCGAATGTTCGTCAACGGTTGTGGAGAAAGTTCAGAAATTTGATCAAGCAATCGGACTTAATGAATATCCTCCAAAATTGCGGAGAAGCTCACGGATTCTGATCAATAACAATGAAGCTGATAATTAGTCTAAACACCTGACGCAACTATGTCGACTTTGATTACGCTAGTCTCGGGAGAACTGCTTTCTTTGGGTATGAATCATCGGGATCTGCAATGCTGTCAGTTGCGCTCTTATATTGGAGTCCCCCACTTGTTCCAATACTCACCAACCCCATTGTCGATGATATGGCCTGCCACGGCCTCCTTCTCTGTAGTACAACCGTTTAATCAGCTCTTGAATCTGATTTTGGACGCCACACATGGTTATGGACTCTGCGGCGCGCTACAGCGCCCACTTTGCAATGTCTAAGCGGCTCAGCCTGTTAACGAGCATCATGTCAACCGGCGTCGTGATGCTGACTTCCTCATTGTAGCCCCTGATCGTCACGCGATGTGTGTTACACTATCCAAACAGCAGGTCTGCAGTTCTTGCGCGTAGCCGTGGTAGTTGAAGTAGACGGACTTGTCTGGCGCGCCGCGGGCGCGAGGACGAAGAGATCCGTCACGTTGACGACGCGCACGCGCAGGTCCGGGGCCATTTGTTGCACAAGCACGGAAGACTATACTGTAGCAGACTACGGAGACCTTTAATGCCCAATCTCAAAACTTGCTGTGAAAGTGTAGCGATCAAGCTATCAGCATGAAGACATCGCAAGGCATTATTTCGAGTATAAATAGCGTGAGCCAGCCGCGCCTTTCTGATGTAGACTCGTCTGCGTATACCAGTAGTCTTTCAACACCGTTCCACATTTCTTCTTTACCACTCTTATTGAATCCCAAGCCCATAGCAGTTTTCTCGCTGCCCAGAGTCCTTACCTTTCCAACGAGAATCCAGTTTCTCCGAAGGGAGCGTTCAAGCATATGCAAGAGTAATTCGATACATGCATCTACGGAATTACTCTGACGAGCCCCGATATAAAACTGAATACTGCCAGGCAAGTTTCGAACCGAGTGACTGCTGTTCGGACAGTAACAAGCGTACAGATGATGAGAAACTCACACGAGATGTGCGAGTGTACCAATCAGCGGGTTATTTCGGCATCGATGATCTTCGAGTCTACGCTTTGGGAAAATTCAAGACCAAGGCCAAAAGCTTATGGACGAGCCAGGGGTTTATTGACTGCATACCAGAGGTATACGCTTCGACCACAGATGCTCAATGTCAGATGAGGCGAGCAGTAATTGACATTAACTGCGAGCATTCGGAAGACGATTGGAAAGAGCTTGAAGGTCCTCCTGCGCGAGGGGGCGTTCGCTGTGGACTTGCTGGATCGACCATTCGTCCGCGATCGGCTCAATCTCAGCTGTTTTGAGAATCCCTGAGCGAATCGAACGGAAATTTGGTCGATACATAGTGTCTTTGTGTATGCATAAAGCATCTATACCTCCGCTATTGAATGCTTCATTTATGGCAGCAGCTCCTCGGAGGAATCCTACGTAAGTTGATGGATTTGACTTGATAAAGCGCCGACTGGCTACGGGCGACGCCGTGTGCAGGCACGAAGGCTACTCCGCACTACACCTAACAACGCTGGAAACGGCAAGTGACACTCTCGACGGGGTGGGAAAGGATGCAAACAGTACTCGCAATGATGGGCATAGAAAGCAAACGGACCGTGTTGCTGCTTGACGAGACGTTAGATATTCGTCGTCAGAGTGCGGTCAAGGTAAGCCAGAGCTTTCGTACGTCCGTAAAAACCAGCAGGTAATAGTGGTTCAATCTCTTGATAGCAGAAGGACGCAGTACAGCCTGAGTCGTAGTGAACACATGTCGGGCTGTCTTACTGTCGGTCGGTATCGATGCCGTTTATGGTAGCAGTAGAAGCGATTGATGCGACTGCGATACTGCAATCGCAATTTGCTCCATTTGACACCCTAAGGTTACCTCTCCGCGTCTGAGCTGTGACGGAGCTAGCGGTGAAGATGGCTAAGAGTGCGCTGGTCGCGCAGAGCCCTAGGGGAAAGACACGTAATACCATTCTGGCGCGGCAGCTTTTAGCCTTGCAGGAACACTCAGAGTACATGCGCGTTGTCTGCATCGAGCCCTGCCGTGCAAAAAGCCAGACAAAGTTTGATTGCGGTCGGCGCACAGAGCACGGCAGCTAGCGGCCTGGGCGATGGCGTGTCCGGCAGGACCCTGCAAGCATGCCAGGCGGACTGGCCTTGGAAGCGGTGTATATGGCACGGTTGGGCCACCCTCGCATTGTACCAGCGAGCGCGCTGCTCTGGGCAGTACAAGCGTATAACATGGTACTACTTGTGGTAGAAAACTGGACAGGCATACTGAGCCGCCTGCGACCTCTTGTGGCGAAACACTACAAGCATGTTTGAATTGAAAGTAGAGTGTACACTTCTCCCTATCGAAACTACGTCGCATGAGAATACGCGGGGCAGGGGGCTTTTGTGCTGTCAACTAGACAAATTTTGTTAGAGACAAGCTATTTTCATTATACTATACGGCTCTCCGCTTAAACATCGAAGTGATACAAAGTCTCATTTACTATGTCAAAACTTATGTCAATATGCCCATTTTGGCAAGCCGACGGCGACAGGGCGTCAAGCGCCGTGTAGGAAAAGTCCAGGCCGGCTGCCCCGTTCGGGTCCCATGTAGAATCGGAGAC